TTAAATGGACTTAACAGACATCTACCAAGTATTCCACCCAAGCACCAAAGGGCATACTTTCTACTCGGCACCCCATGGAACCTTCTCCAAAATCGACCATATACTGGGACACAAAACAAGCCTCAACAAATACAAAAACATTGAAATAATTCCATGCACTCGATCAGACCACAATGCAATAAAGCTTACAATCAACACCCAAAGAAGCCCTAATCACCACATGAACACATGGAGATTAAACAACACACTCCTGAATGATGAATGGGTCAAAACAGAAATTAAGAAAGAAATAAAAGTATTCCTGGAACTAAATGAAAAGGGAAATACAACACAACAAAACCTCTGGACATGCTAAAAGTGGTCCTTAGAGGGAAGTTTATAGCTCTAAGTGCCCACATCAAAAAATCAGAAAGAACACAAATACATGACTTAACATTGCATCTCAACACACTTGCAAAGCAACAGCAAATGAAACCCAAACCCAGCAGACAAGAAGAAATAACAAAAATCAGGACAGAAATTAATGAAATTGAAACAAAGAAAACAACACAAAGAATCAAAGAATCTGGGGCTGGAGAGATGGCTCAGTGGTTAAGAGCACTGACTGCCCTTACAGAATACTCAGGTTCGAGTCCCTTACCTTTCTTCTAGGTTGGAACTCAGCATTAAAACAGTTGCCTGGCCAGGCACAGTGGCACATGCCTTTAATCCTAGCACTCTTGGAGGCAGAGGCATGGGGATCTCTGTGAATTCGAGGTCAGCCTGGTCCACACAGTGAGTTCCAGGCCAGCTTGGGTTACAGGGAAACACTGTCTCAGACAACAACAGCAACAACAACAAAAACAATATAAAGAATCAACAATTCCAAGAGCTGGTTCTTTGAGAAGATAAACAAGATTGACAGACCGCAAGCCCAGTTAACCAAAAAAAGAAAGAGCACCTCCAAATCAACAAAATCAGAGATGAAAGGAGAAACATCACAACAGACACCAGAAAGATATAGAATATTATAAGGGAATACTTTAAAAACCTATATGCTACTAAATTTGAAAACCTAAAAGAAATGGACAGATATCTAAAGGCATGGGAACAACTGAAACTAAATCAAGAAGAGAATGACAGCTTAAACAGACCCATAACACAAAAAAAGAAATTAAACAGTAATACAAAATCTCACGACTAAAAAAAGCCCAGGTCCAGATGGATTTACAGCAGAATTCTATCAGACTTTTAAAGAATATCTACATCAAATACTACTTAATTT